CTACACGACAGAAAGCAGCAGAGCTTTTTCAGCTACTCCTCACCACAGTCAGTAAAATTTCTGGGCCAGGATACTATAATGTAGCACAGTATTCAACTTGAAGTGTATTACAAATGTAATTTAACTTCATTTTCCTCAGCTGAAGCCTGACAAGCCACTCAATTTGCAGATCCACAGTCAGCATTCTTCAGACAGCATTTCATGAGGTTACAGATATTTTCTAGTCCTACTTACAGGCAGTGGACAACAGTCCGTCCATCTCTCCCATCATATTGTTCCTGCCACTTCTCCAACCTTCTGACCACCTTCAGGAGGGAGCGCTTGGAAGGAGGGGTGTCCCTGTATGCTGGCCAGCCAATGTACTGCAGGTGCTGAACTATGCGATATCCGTCCTGGGGCTAAAAAAAAGAATGTTTTCAAGACGCTAAATGGAATGGGGCGGGAGGCAGAGAGTTGGGGTAAAGCAGGGGGCACTGGTTACATCACATCTTCCCCTCTGGATCTGGTATCACCAGTGTTAACATCCTCCACTCCGGATACCTGACACAGTGGGGAAACAAGGACTTTCCCATAATCTGGATAACAATGATGACCTCAGGCATTGCAAAGGAAGGCAGAAACCAGGTGCATCAGATCCCTTGTTTTGTTTCCAGCAGAGAATAAAGTCTCAAACTGTTTGAATATATCTAATAGAACAACTGACTCTTTCCTGGTTGCCTGTGCTGGAAGTTAGTTGTGCCATAAAAACTAAAGTGAAAGAAGGACCTCAAAAAAATCTCTGGGAGTTGTAGTGTGAAAGGACTCTCATAAAGATTTCAGCAGTGGCCACTGGTGTTGAAGATGGATGCAGAGAGCTGCAAGCTCACAGCATCCGCCCCATGCCAGCTATGCATTACGAGCCAGCTTCATCCCGAGAGTCACAGATCTTTAGTCTCACCAGCTACATGGCTTCCAGGCTGTCCCTGGTTCAGAGACAGATAGAGAAAGGTGAATATCTAATTGATGTAGGAAGGTGAATATCTAATTGATAAATCAATCACTTTGCGTAGCTGGACCGCAAGGTTCACCCTGCAATGCCATGACTGAATTGCTGCTGCACAGGCTCTGACCATACAGTCAGGCTGATGTGTTAAACAGCATGGAAATGCAATTTGTGGAGCCTGTTTCCATTTCTGACTGAAAAAAATGAAAAAGGAACAAAAAAGGAGACATAATCAATCTGGGAAACAACTAATGAGAGAAAAATCCACTATTGAAAGCCTTTCCTGCAGCCCTGAAGTTGCATTGCCAGGGTCCAGTGTGCAGATAAACCTTGTTTCTATCACTTCAGCTGTCCTGGGGCTGAGGGGCACAGACAAAGAGTTGCTTACAGAAATGGCAGTTGCTTATTTATAGGGAAAAAAGTGGCAATTGGGAATCCCAGTCTAGCCAGTAAACGTTGCATCTGTCTTCGGAGACTCTGCATAGTAGATGACAGATGGGGAACTGCTGACACAATCCCAGTTTATTTTCTATGATACTGATGGCTTTATATTGGCTACTAAGTGATTAATTGTTCTTAAATATACACAGAAAAAATGCTTTCCATTTAAATACAGACTTTCAGCTCATACCATCCACTTTCTACTTTCAGCAAAGAGTTTTTTACCAATACAGACTGATGCGACTAAATCTCAATTAAAGCAAGCAGCTACTGAATTCTGCAGAGGAAATATGTGCCTAGGTGAGAGATTCAGCAGCTCTAAAGCAAAAGTCTTGGTTCTGCTTCTTTCTCATGCGAAAATCTATTTTTGAGAATAAATAGGGAATCTGGTATTTCACTGATCTTACCCTGGCCATGTTGCAGATCCGAAATATCCGGTTGATGATATCTTCATCAATGTCTGCTGATACAAACTCTACTTGAATCGGGCCATAACAGCAGGATGTTTTCTCTGGCCAGTACTGCATGCAGAGCTGGAGAAAGTCCCACAAGAAAAAAAAAGCACCTTAGCTACTAACAAGAAAATGCAAGCTCAGTCTTCTTTCCTTCTTAATTTATAGCCAGCTTAAAATCCATAACTGATCTCACATTACATGTAATTTCTCAGAGAGGATCATCTTCTAGCTTGGTAAAAATTTGTTACATCATGAATATGAAGAAAATAATATAGTTTAGAAGTTTAACATTTTCTTTTTTCTTGTCTGAACAAAATTTGTAATTGATTGAATTCTTGGGTCTAAAGGTGCAAAAAAGGTATCTGACATATCTTCTGTACCAATATAGCTTTAAAATGAACATTAAAAGATTAGTGTCTGCAGGTAAATTTAATAGGAACCACAGAGATTTGTTGTTAATGAGGAAACAGTACATGCACCACCAAAGTTATCTTAATTAAAGCAAAGTGAAACTTTTGTTTTCTGTAAGATGAACTTTTCAGCTTTCTGACTCTATCAGTGAGCAGGGGAGGGAGAATGAGTTTGCTCTGAGAGCAACGAGAGCAGCTCTGATTTCAGGGTGAACTACAACCGAACCTCTGAAGTCTGTGAAGCAGTCTGAAGTATTTTTTCTTATGCTGATACTACTGAATTGAAATTACAAAAAAATATCCTATCCACACAAATTACAATCTAAGTATTTTAAATCCATCTGGAAATAGATCATGGTGAGAAAATATTTTGCATGAGATCTCATTAGCAGTTTCTGCTGAGATTGTATTTCTTTCTGTTTTTTTTTTCTTCCTATTTTCAAGTGTAATATTTTAGAAGTTTTGAAACCCCCAGATGCTCATTTGAACTTGATCTCAAGCTTTTCAAGTTCAATCATTGCCAGTAATAACGTCAAGTGTGTGCATGCTGCTGCATTAATTCTGTATGCCTGTTATCCCTTTGATCATATGGGATTGAAATTGGGTGGGATACTCATGCAATCTTATGCATCTTTGCCCTTGTTAGTTTTTCAAGATTAAGCAAGCCAGACAAGACCAGATAAGCAAGTCCTGCTTCAAAGATTTGTCTTTATTCTTCATTCAGACTTTCAAGCAGCTCACAGATCTCCTCTCAAACCATTTGTCCAATAGGCAAGGAGATCTGAGCTGAGCAGGTGCTTCAGGAAACAACCTCAATGTGCACTGGAGAGAGGCAAATGATTAAACTTCTTCTTAATACTGAAAATCTGCTTTTCATAAAGCAGGTCTGTGAATGGCCATCTACCCACATGTGCATATACATAAACACGGTGCTTAAAATTGTCTGTTATGTTCTCCGACCTCCACATGGTTTTATTTGCACCTTTTCCCTGCATAGTGGATTAAAGGTTCAACTACCTATTTAACTCTTTTCCTCCCTACAGTTCAGACACAGCTTTTATAAAAGCATTTTTTGTATCTGTGTTCTACTCATGAAGATGAGTAACACAGCCTGCTCATGCACACAAATACGGTACCTGCAGACAACCGTACACCAACAGTTTTGTAGTGCTCAAGGTCCAGCGCTTGGATTAGGCACTGATGAACAGCTAGATAATGGCAACATTGTCATGTCACACAAAGGTCAGGCTACCTCACCAAAACAAAACTTTGCTAGGATAAAAATAAAGCAGGTAAAGGCTTGCGCAGAAAGATACTCACAAGAGTAACACTGGCTGAGGTTGACAAGTTTGTGTTTTCCAAAAAAGAAGTGTGAGAAAGTGTGGTTTTCTTTAAAGCATCAGAAAAAAAAGGAAAAAAAAATAAATTTGCCTCTGGATTCATAGCCAAGACACAGAATCAGGCAGGGTGAATGGGACAGGAGGCAGCAAGTGCACAGGATCTCCAGTTCCTCCAGTTCTGGAATACTGTGTTCATTTCTGGGCCCCTCAGTTCAAGAAGGACAGGGAATTGCTTGAAAGAGTCCAGCACAGAGCCACAAAGATGATGGAGGGAGTCGAGCGGCTGGGGGAGCCGGGTCTCTTTAGCTTGGAGAAAAGGAGACTGAGGGGTGACCTCATTCATGTTTATAAATTTGTAAAGGGCGAGTGTCAGGAGGAAAGAGCCAGGCTCTTCTCTGTGATGTCAAATGATAGGACAAGGGGAAGTGGGAGTGAACTGGAGAATAGGAGGTTCAACCTGAACATAAGGAAAAAAAAATTTACTGTAAAGGTGACAGAGCATGGCCCAGGCTGCCCAGAGAGGCTGTGGAGTCTCCTTCTCTGGAGACATTCAAAACCCGCCTGGATGCGTTCCTGTGTGACCTGGTCTGGTGATCCTGCTCTGGCAGGGGGGGTTGGACTGGATGAGCTTTCGAGGTCTCTTCCAACTCCTAATATTCTGTGATTCCTTGCATGCTGGTGGGACTCTGCAGGTCCCCAAGAAAGCCCATTTCTGAGCAGGGCTTTTACTTTGACTGGAAATTAAATCCCATAGTGTTCACCCTGAAGGGAGATCGCCTCCACAAATGAGGTGATTGGCTTCTCTATTATCATCAAAAAAAGAGACCAATAATCTTACTGTAGTAAGATTCTGAAGACAGAAAAGAGACAAATGAAAAACTAATCCATGAAGCACCAACTACTTGAGGGCTCCTCTTCTCTTGTTTAACAAGTGCTGCACTGGGTGAATTAGCCATGCCAAATGCACTCTTCACACAAATTGCATGATTACGCCTTTTGAAAGCTGTTATCTTCTGCCACTCATCAGCAAGGTGGCTGAAAATGCTACTACAGGAGGAACTGCAGTGGCTCCTCCCCAGCAAGCTCAACCCCTGAAAATCATGTGTTTAGTACTCATGAATCCAACTTACACATGACACTAGAAAGGCAAAAAAAAGAATACACAGCACAATGTGCTTCTGCAGGAAGTGTGCAAACCACACTTCTCAGTACTAGAGAACTGCATTGGAAATCTCAGGGAAAAGATCCTTCCAATGATTTCAGCATCTCTCTTGGTTTTATTCCTCTAGAAATAACATGTGAACAGGCATGCTTAAAGCACACTGGGGCTGTGGTGGGAAACAGTTTTCTGAACCAAAGGCAGACAAAAGTATGAAAGGAAAGAAGGAAAGGAAGATTTAGTTCCACAAACACAACATACTTAGATATCCCTGTTAACTGCAGGAAGAATGAGCAGCCTTAGGAGGAGCCAAGCATGTGGATTTATCTTTCATTATACCCCAAAACATTACCTATTACTTTCCAGTTCCTCTTCATCTACTTATTGGAGTGAGGAGGGGGTGCACAAGAAAATGGCAGTAGAAACACTCTTAAAACCATCTGTACCCGAGAAGAAAGTTACCTGACAGAAATGATGAAAAATCACTTACCTGTGCTGCATCCATCTCATTCAGCATCACGACAGAGGAGCAGTTATAATCAAACACCAGCCTCCAGAAGTCTGCTATGGTGTTGGGCAAAGGGTGCTGGGTTACAATAAAGGCAGCAGGTTGCTTGTGGCTCTAACAAAAGAATAAGATTAGTTAAAAAAAATTCAATCAACTTTTATTCAAACGAATATTATACCCGGGAGGCTATGGCTAGGCAATCTGAGCCATTTAACCAGATTATACAAATCACATATCCTTCTCCTTGTTATCGCTCTGCAATGAATGAATGTCTCATAATGGGATTCTTTTGCTCCCAATGAAGACATTTCATTAAAGAAGTGTCACAAGAGCAGAGATTACTTGAATCAATTATTTATATTTTGAGACTCAGCAAATAATACTAATTCTACTATTACTACTACTACTACTATCAGTAATATTAATAATTGGAAAGAAAACAGCTGGAAGCAAACACTATCCTTATTGCTGCAATGGACTCCAGGAACTACAGAAGGGATTAATGCCCCCCATCTGCTATTGCTCCCTGGTGATGTAGTGCTACAGGGGTGGTACATTTGGATCCCAGCCATCCTTTAAGAGCTTGTGGGGCAATATTCAGAGCCTGTGACATTGGCATTTAATTTCTGATGCTATTCTTTCACCTCAAAAAAGCTCTTTGACCTCAATCTCCCTAAGCACGAAGGGGAGGAACTCTGCTCCTGACCTCTGTGGGGCTGTGTTAATGAATGTTTGTGAGGCACTTTGAGATGAAACAGTACAAGCTCAAAACTTTATCGCTTTCCAACCACGGCAGGCAATGCTTAAATGAGCCTACAAACTGCACAGACCTTTTTGCCATACATCTGTGAGGCAGACTTGAATTAAAAGGCACAATATTTCTGTGTAAAAACAAAACAAAACAACAAACTCCAAAAAACAGTTTAAGATTTTGGATTTAAAGTAAAGAAATAAATAAAACCCTAAAGGATTAAGATGGCAGTTGTGGGGGTTTGCCTTTTCTCTTCCATATGAGTCAGTTTTGGGTGGAAGAGCTGAGCAGACCATGCTGAGAGGGTCAGAGGGTGCTGTGCGTGCCCTGCACACGCTTCTGAGTGTGCTCGAGTGAGGGTGATGGGACAGGAAGCAGAGAGAAGGTAAAGGAAATGATTTCTTGTGAAATGATCATTCTGGAATGGGTTTTCCTCTTCTCCCTACTCTGTATTTCAAACCTAGAAGCACCAGTACAGGTCAGAAGCTATGTTGTACAAGACCAATGGAGGCAACAGAGCGATAAATAAAATAGGGAATCTTATCTCTTAACTAGAATTGAGAACATGATGATGTTTCTGCTGTGTTTTTCCATTGTGCACCAACACAGCAAACTGCATAATTGACTAAACTGTTGGCTGAAGGCAGGATGTGTTTGTGGGCTTCAAAATTAGGATAAAAAAGAAATGTGCCCCACCTGTTTTCCTCGCTACTGGTGAGGAACCAGTCTCACTGTCCTATTTTAAAGGGAAGGTGACACAGAGATGTCAATTATTCATGTAAGAGAACATGTGTAGGACCATGGGACAATGACAGGGACACGACATGGACTCATGTCTTTCTCCAAAGGTAGCGGTAAATAAAATGATCAGCACTGGGACTGTGTCATCAAGTGATCCCCAGTATGTGTCTGTATTCACCCAATGAAAGAAATAATGACAGTTCAGGGCCATATGGGATGGATGATCTCTTGTAAGAGTCCATGCTCAGTGCTAGACTGCAGACAGGAAGGCACCTGAAAAGACAAAGAATTTGCAAGGTCTGTCCTCAACAAGAAAACCTATGAAAGTGTGGGATTTTGGCTGTTCTCCTATCTGATTTCTTTTTTTCAAAAGCTGCCAATTCCTCTATGGGAGGATAAAAGAGAGCTGGAGAACATCATAGTGGCTGAATTTCAATGATGGGTGAAAAATTCCTTTGCACAAAAATTTTAATTAGCAGGAATTTTTTGGGTAAGGATACAAGTATTAGCAAAGTGATCTGAAGTAATGAGGGCTGAAATGTGCAAACACATTCCCAGTCCCTAAGAAACTAAAGAGGAATTGATTGTGCTTCTACAGATTTGCCAAAGCACAAAACACACTTCAAGGGAAAAAAACAAAACCGTTTCCTTAGGCATGTTTGCAATGAAAACATCACTATCTTTCTGGGAAAAAAGTAATCTAAAATTAAGTCTATGACCATTTGACTTAACCTCTTAAATGCAGTAGTATCACTGTTCCCCAAAGACTGAACGAACAGACAAAATTAAAAAAGACCAACCCCAACATTGCTAGGGAAACAACGATGACATTTCACCCTGGATCACATTTACACATACTCCAACTGCGATAATTAGTGGCTTTAAAGACATTTCTGTCCAAAGGCAGTTAGGCACCACAGCAAAAAAGAAACCATCAACACACTTCACCCTATACAAATGACTTGCGTTGCCAGATTCTAGCCTATAAACAAAGCAAGGGAACATGCCTTAAGACAGATTAGTATCAGCTGAACTCATGTCCTTCAGCCTTACAGTATTTTGCACATCTGATCCCTGTACCCCGTATTGTTAACTGCATAAGCTTGAATAAATCACCCACTCTGCACTGCAAACTGCTCTTTTAAAAGAGCTGACCTGGCAGCCCCTGGCAAACATTTCTCTTCCGAGTTATACGACAACCAATGTGCAGGCAGAGTTGTCCCACCACTTCTTTGTCCACCTGCCTTTCTATGATACAGTCTCAGACTGCATGCTCATGAACTTCTTTACCAAAAATTTTCCACCGATGTGAGCTGTAAGTACAACAGCAGTGTGATAGCAGTGTGATAATCATAGTCTAGGTGACACATTTCTGTGTGCCTTTGCCCAGTTTGGAGATGTCAACCTCAGAAACTGCAAAAAAACAAGGGGGGTTTTTTGCTTTGGATTACTTTCTCCCAGAAGTATCCTGAGAACAAATAAACTTGATGCAGACTAGGACAGTGGGGACAGCACAGTGCTGCTTACATCCATGAGTGCAGCATTGATGTAGTTACTTGATTCGCCATCCACAGAGATGAGGAAAGGCAAGCATCGGTCCAAGGGCAGCACATCCATGCAGCGGTTCTTGTCGTGGTTCCTTGGCAGAAGACCGATGCTGCAATCTTCCGGCCGAACCCGTGGTGTCACAATATTGAGAGTCTGTGAAGGGGGCAGGGAAGAAGGGAAAGAAAGACAAAAGCAGGCTGAGTGTGTTTGAATTTACTTCCAAGAAGGATGCCATCCACACAATATGTTGCTTTTAAAGGTACTTAGACTAGCAGAGATCTTTGGGATCCCAGAGAATGAAAAAGAACAAACACTGAGGAGCTTGTTGCTATTATAAAACATTGCATTTTGCACATCATTTTGAGATGCTCTTCTAAAAACCGTACGCTCCAGCAAGAACTGAAGGCACTATGCACCTTCCAAAAATTCCCAGCTCTAAAACCCCACAGCAGTTGGATAATGTTTCTGTTCTTTCCTAGAGGCTGGAAACAGCTGTCACAGCTACAAGTTGCAGCTTTGACCTGGTCATGGAGTGAAACCTCCTCGTGTTTCTACCACCCCTAAGGTTGAAGCACGCATCCTTCTCCCTCTTCAAGTGGATCCTGTGCAGAAGTACCCTGAGTATTGACCTGGCAGGGTCAGACTGGGTTCAAATCGTCTGGTGATTCCTCAGTCAAACTACTGATTTATCGTAACAATACATATAAAATCCTAAGAGAAAATGTTGAGGTTTTTTAACAGGAAAGTCTGTTTGTTTCATAAATTATTTAGATCGCTACTTTCCTTTTGGAGTGACACGTAGGATGCTTCACTTACACAGTCATACCTTATCTCTGGGGTCTTACTGTCAGTCTTTTACTGTTATCTGTCTTTCCCACAGCTTGACAAACTGTATTTTTTAAAATCTAATTTTCTTTCATGTTATCCATTGGGGAGGCTTCCTGACAAAGCAGTCCAGGTTGGTCAGCGGGGATCAAAAATAGCAAATCAAAGTGAATGCATCCTAACACCATCACTTAAGTCATGGGAGATCAGTGCCTATCTGATGTCTTTCTACTTTCACTTGTTCCGTGTCCTTTTCCTGAGCAAAGCTCATGCGTTAGCACAGTGAACTCCTTTGCAGTCACCAGAGGAACACAATATTTAGGGGGCAAAAATTCTTCAACAGAGCTTGACTTCTACTACAGAGAAGTTATGAATGGAGAAAAGAGGAGGGTCAAACAATCCAAACTAAAGGAATGTGTCAAAGTATAATATTTGAAATAATACAGTTACTCTAAATTATCCAGGTTCTGTGTGAAAGTCCTTTTTCTAGAGATGGAAAGCAGACAGTCTGGCTGGGGAAGCAGCATGAATTCTAAGATCTCTGACAGTGTAGATCATAGGCAAGTGACTTGTTAGTGATTTACCCCTGTGTTTTATGACCCTCCCTTCTCTCCTTTTTTTTAGTACTTACTCAGATTACAAAGACTCTCCAGAATGAGCCTTTGCATGTTCAGACAACACGCAATGCATGAGATACCCATCCAGCCTCACCTGAGGGCCAGTGGGACCTAAATAATACACACTGAACTAACTTATCTATGGTTAGATCAACTGGTTCATAAAGACTGCAGCAAAAGATATCTTCTGCATTAAATCCAGAGAATTTGGGCTGAAGAATGCTCTGAGCCAAAATCCCGTAAAAATAGATTCTACAACTAGACAGAGAATGAACTCTTATGCAAAGTACAGCAGAGCATTTCCTTCCCATAGGAGTTTCCAGCCCCTGGCAGCTCAGAAGAACAAGCACACAGGCGACAATCTCGTCTCATATAAAGACAAAATAAGCCCAGCAAGCAGCAACTTTTTTTTCTTTAATAGCATAACGGCATTTGATGAAGTTAGGCTTTGGCGCCTTCATGCTGAGCATCCAGAACCAGAAACACTTTTACAGATCTGATATCACTTGATAAAACCAGATCTTTTTATAATTGAACTGTCATCAGTTGGGATCCTCATTCTTTATCTCACTGTACCAACCCTGATGATTCCCTGGAAGGTTTCAGAAAAAAACCCCACACATTCACCCTTTCCGTAGAGAGGGAGAAAAAGAGGCATCTAACTCAAACTGGGGCTCCCAAAAGACGTTCTTGTGCTGCAAAAGATACTTTGCTGTTAAGTGTAGAAACATTTCCTATAATTAAAGGAAACTCCATCTTTTTACTGCTGACTAAGAGCAGGCTCTTAACAAATAGCAGAGGTGTCTCTCTCTTTCCTGTCAAACTCATCTTGCCCCAGACTTCCTGCAATATTATATTTTTTCCATACGTTGGTGTTGGCTGAAAATCCTAAAAGGATTTACAGATATACAGGGAACAAGACTGGAAAGCGTAGTTCACTGTTCTGCTGACTTCTCTACTGTGCCAGAGGTACAACTGCAGAGGGCTTGTGTCCCAAGCCCATTTATTAGGGTGGGATAAGCAACGGTGACAGCAAAAGGTGGAGGGGTCCCCATTTCATCACTCGCCCTGGGCAAATCATGCTACTCTAGCAATTGAGAGTCTTACTCCGTGTCATTTCAGTTCTCACCACCAGGTACTCGGCAAAATGTACAGAGTGAACTGAGGGATTCAGTTCATTAAAATTATTAATAGCAAAAGTAAGGCTCACTGAGCTCACTATCTCCTTTGCATGGAAGGACGTCAACAAGTTGATTGTCAAAACTCAAATGCAGCGTATGAGCCACAAGAATGGATAATAAGGGACCTTGAGGCATAAATGTTTCTGCATAAATTACAGAAGAAAATGAACAACAGAGTATTTGTTGAAATAAGAAGTACAACATTATCTGCTAAAATTAGTACCCTTGCTCTACTGAAGTGATGGGGAATTTTTTCCTTGCCGAAGGCTGAAGAATCCGTGCTCAGAAACAAGTCTCTGCCTGATCCAGTAGTAAAACAATTAAAAATCAGCTGAAATCAGACTTTGACTCAGTGTCTCCCTTCTCTGCTCTGTTGGAAATCGTAGAATAACACACAGAAATTGATTAAGCACCCTCAATACACCAACTGGAAAGACTAAGACATATTAAATTACCTGAAACTCATCTTTTATCTGGCTGGAGTTGGTCTGTGGATCTAGTCTGCTGATGTTGTAATATATGGATCTGAACTCACAAACTGGAATGGCCGTGTTGCCACAGAGACATGCCTCCAAAATGGCATCATGGACAAACACATACTGCTCCTGCATAGGGGAGGGGATAAGATATTAAAGTAATATTTTCAATACAGTTCATAAAATATCACACTTTTTTTTTTTCTTAAATCATGCTCGATATGCATATTTGGCTCTGTTTCACGTGGAGACAAATTACACCGTGTGCTATGTGACAGCTTTGTGAGCACATTTCATCCATCATTGAACGTGAGGTCTCATGCATTCATTTCAAATTTACAAGTAAAATGGAAAGTCACCACTCTCACGTAGGCTGGGACAAAATGGGAGCGAGTGAGGAGGAAATTAGGGCATAAAGCTTTTCTGTTCATAGTCACGAGGCAATGAGGGATGGATCGTGCTTTGGACCTATGACAACATCAGAGAAACAACTGTACAGACAGGGCTGCTCCCTCTGTCCCTTCAAAACCCCTGCACTCCTGGCACCCCGGGTAAAATTCTTTCCCTGAACCAAATATGAGAAGTCCAACAAAGTTAAAAGCCCTTCTCTGTTCCAGGCTGTTCTCCTGTCCCTCAGGAGGGGGATGCACTGAAGCCCATACGTAAAACTTGTGCAGCGGGATAACAGCTCCACAGAAGTTTGTGCAGCTGCTAGGTGCTACATGATGGAGCAGCTTGCTTCATCAGCACTCAAAGCGTCAATCAAGGATGTTTCATTTGTTTAGCTTTCAACTGCTATAAACTACGTACTATTCAAGTCTGCACTATACCTATGAATGAGTCATGAGAGGATTCAGGAGCTAGGGTTGTTCTTTTTCTACTGTGAGAATAAAATTAATCAGCAATGCAAAGACCTAAACTTCAAGGTTTGCCCTCCTGTCTTGGAGGCCCTGGGTAGCTGCCAGTGACAGTGATTCGGTGCACATCTGGACATGTTTAGCCACTGAAAGTTCTGTATAATCACATCGCAGAGCAAGCAAGCGTTGACTTAATGAATTGCTGGGCTCCCGCTGAGCAGAGCAGCTGACAGAAAAGCAGTATGCGGTAAGAGGAGACTTGGTGACACCTACCTCTGTCTGCACCAAATTGACCCTTTGGGAGCGCAGCTCTCGTACACAGTTAAATATATCCACCACGCCTTCGTTCTCTGCCATGTCAAGCATGATGTCGATGGCAATAAAGCACCCTGTTCTCCCGGCCCCAGCACTAAAAAAAGAAAAAAGCCTTGAGGGTTTGTATAAAAGGACCATGGAAAGGCAGGGCTCTATGGAGGAGAAAATAACTGCATCACAGACACAGCTGTCTGCTCTTGGAAGCTGCTCCCCTCTCCCTGTTGGGTTGATTTTTGTGTGTAGCTAAATTAGCTTAAGATTTGAGAGAGTGAGGTGAAATAATATTTCTTGAAAGGGAAATGGACCCTGATGAAAGGGGCTCAGCCCTCCACCTCAAACATTTTTTTTCTTTTTAATCCAGAGCAGTTTGGGTCCCGAGGAGGGTGCTTTCAGGTTGTGGATTATAAAATTATAGAGAAAGGAGCTCGGGGCTACTTAAAACCTTCAGTTTAGAGCTCCCTGCTGCTTGCATTGGACCATGTCCCGCAAAACCGTGTTGTCATTGTGTCCTCCTTCCCTCCTGGGAAATCATCCAAGCTGCTTAGGTGTGAAGGATAGAGAGAGGAGAACGTCTCTTCACATTACTCTGAAGGAAGAAGGAAAACTCAGCTCAAATCAGGGAAACTTCAGTTGCATGAAAACTCCAGCAGAGCCGAAAGCAAGGAGATATGAATGACCATAAATTAATGGACCAGATTAATCAACTGCTGAATAGAGAGAAGATATTTTTCATTTGCAGAATTTTAATGAATAAGTGGCATTTCCTCTCCCTTTATCTCTCAGCTTTTCAGAATTTTAACAAATAGTTATAACATTTCTATATTTAGAGGATCCTGGCACTTCATAAATATCGAACCGTGATATTACCCAGCCAGGCATCGGTAGGGAGAATTTGGTAATTACCACTTAAAGCAAGTCATTAAAATTCAAAAGCAGATAAATAACGGAGAGGAAATGGCATTTATTCATTAAAATGTGAAGGATGAAAAATTTCTCATTGCTTTCTTGGTGACAATGAATCAGGTTCAGATTTCTTCCAGGGCCAGACCCATGTCACGGCAAATGCAAGCCTTGAACTCTGAATGCATTCCCCTGCTGCCAGCTCCTCAGGTTTAGCTGTATTTTGTTATAAAACTGATTTATTTCTTGTTAAAAATCCCAACAAAGCAAAACAAAACACATACCTCCCCCACCCCATAATTAAACAGGTAAGATTTAATTTATTTTCCTTTTTCAAGTGGTTGTGGGATGTATTCTCTCTCCCTAACCACAGAGGAGGTGATCACTTAGAGGTTATTGCCTGTGGATCGACTGGGCGTGAGATGCTGGGATGGCCACCTCTGGTTTCCAGCTCTGTGCTCCACCCATGTCTCCTTTACAGATCACGGGCCCTGAGTTGTGGCCTCAGCACTGCACAAGTAGCTGCTGCAAACATAAACTCTGTTTCTGTAGCAGTGTCTTTCTTTGCATTTGAAGTCATAATAAAGAAGATTTCCTTAACTACGGTGGGTTACAAAAGCAACTGTTTTCACTGTAAAGCAGAGGGAAGGACATTTACCTACAGCCAGCACTCACTAATACAGTAAGTTCTTTGAGGTTTGTCATCTCTTTGATTCAGAATGTATCATCCTCATAATAAATTATATAATAAATTATATAATCCACTAATCCAATCCACCATAATCCCTCCTCAAAATTTTTCTTACACCGCAAGTTGTTAGAGAAACCTGGTAACCATTAAGAGAGGCAAAGTAAAGAGCGCTGGTTTCCCCTCGTGGCTCTGATGCCAGTCTGTCTGCGTGTCTCTGCTATCCCACCAGCATGCCTGATCACACCTCAAACTGTTCTTCATGTCAGAGACAACTCTCCTACATATTCCTATAGTGCCTTGCACAGTAGGGCTTTAAGCTCAGTTGGAAGAAGACAGTGTAGAAGAGCCCACATCAGGAACAGCAGGAGCTGGGGAGTGAGCAAGCACATGATTCAATAGACTGAATGTTCACAGCTGTAAACCAAGCAGCTTACTTGCTGGAAGTCGCTGGGCAGGTTTTCGGTCTGACATTCCCGTTCCAGCTCCTGGGCTTTGAGGAGGCCAAGATGCACCACAATTGGCACCCAGACCCAGGAAGGCAGACCAACATTTCCGACAAGACTATTGATGCTGGTACAAAGACAAACCGCAGTGCATGTGGGGACAGAAAAGCAAAGTTGCTTTAAAATTCCCTATCTTTGTGTAGGCATTGTTCCTTCTGCTGCGTGAGGTTTGCTGTAGATAACGACTGGAATGGCTGTCCCAGATAATTACCATTTTCCCAGCTCTGCTATGAACATCTAAGAGAGTATAGGCCACCAGAGAGCTTTCTACATTTGAATGGCCCTCTTTGACTTACATCATCTCCAGTTCATGCCAGCTAAGCTCTAGAGCTGCCACTTTAGAAAAGAAAACCAAATTCCACTTTGTTTCCTCATGAGGCCTACAAATTATACTCTTACACAAACAAAATGTAGTTGTTTTTTGCCAGACAAGAAGCAAACAGGAAAAAAGCTGGAAAAGCTGATGGAGGAAAGGCTCAGACAAAGAGCTCGCATACCTGCAGTGCACAACAATGGGTCCTGCTTCTGGGGGATTGAGAAACTTCACTTGACGAACGAAGCCCAGGAGGCCCGTGGCATAGCAAGGAACCCCGTGGTCCGGCCAGCTGGTGAAGTGGAACTGCCGAATCTCTCGGATCTCATGGTAGCCTTTCTGAGGAGACAACACAGCCTCTATTTTTCTTCCATCAGACTGCAGTCAGCATATCCTGATCACTGCTCTCGTCCCTCTCGTTCCCCAAGAAGTCACTCTTAAATTCTTTTTGAGGCACTGAAGCAACAACCTGGGGAATAACCACCTATAGAGTGGGCATGCCCCAGGGCAATGGTAGGCTTTCTCACATCTCCTGCCAAAAAATCTCAGTTTGGGATTATAGCTGGTGGTGAAAAGGGTAGAAACTGGTATTTCTGGTGAGATCAAGTTATTGGTACAGGAAAATTAGCACCACTTGTATATTCCCTCCAAAGGGTAACACGGAGGTGCCAGCTAGCCGTGACATTTTATCATATAGGAAATGTAGGTGGAAACCAGCAGCAGGTCCTCTAACCTGTCAGATTTTGACATTAGCATTTCTTACCAAGTTTTTCAGTTATTTAATGAAACACGGAGCCGATGTATTAGAAAACCGGGAAAATATTCCCAGTGTGGCTGAAGATCATTTAGCAGAAATGTCTGAAAAGCTTTAAAACCACTTACTGAGTGTTTGGAGAGTAACTTGGACAGACCTGGAATACTCTGACATTTAGCCTTCCAATTTCTAATTACACATAACAAAACTGTTCCAAATTCTGCCGATTTGGGGATAATTTTTATACTCTTGCCTTTATTGTATTTTTATTTCTGTTGAAAGGGGACCCTACCTGGCATCCAGTTTAACTGATACCTTTTTTCATCTGCAATTTGCCACCGTGAAGCACAACAGTTATTATTCCTGGCACACCATCAACTACTTGCTGGCTTTTGGATGCATTTAAACTTCATGCACTGTGGATTTTACTTTTGTGGACACATCAAGATGTTCATGTAAAATCATTTGTCCAAAATTGGGAACTCTGTCAAAAATTTAGGTTTCCGAAGTGAAAACTGTCCAAATAGTAACAGCTCCCATCTCCAAGAGCATTCTGGATATGTTTCCCAGAGCTCACAATTCTGAACACAAATTAGGTTTTGCATCAAATTTCAGCTGACTGAAGATTTCCTTACCTTTTGTACAGTAAATGTGCGTATGACATACTCTGCCAAAGGTTCTGTCTCAATTAACGTGACTTTAATATCTCCATAGACCTCTGTGTCATCTGGCCAGTATCGAACACACTTTACCTATGGGGGGAAAAGAAAATACTGTGACTAACTCAAGTTGAGTCAGAGCTGACCTACATTTTACTCCACTTTCAAGCTGAAGCCAATGCAAATTGGGCTTTCTTCTGATGTACAGACCTTGTAAAAATTAACTATAAATTAGGTCAAAATTCCTTTACCATATAGAGAAACTACTGGGAAGATTTTTACCAGTTACCTCTGTTGTGAATACAAATGAAAAGGATGCATTCAGCTCTTATTCTTTACAGCAGTGTCCCTTACATTTCCATACATGCCCTGACCATATATAAAGTTTACAGAATACCTGGCGGTCTCTACCACCATCCCTTTTGAGAAAAACCTATGCTATTGCCATTGTAATTCGGAGCTCTCTCTGTTTAGTCAAAGAATTTCAGTTCATAGGGACTGTGAGATACTTGTTCATACATTAATTTTGTTTGACTCTAGGCTTTCCTTATCAGAAGTGGACACAAAATTGACATTTTACCAGCTTGGCATGCCTGAGCTAAGGCTCAAGAAAGAAATCTCCTAAACATGTTAATATATCCCAAGCTTAGCCACTTTTAGAAGGCATGTGCAAAACTAATAGCAGAAATTAAAGGCAAGGTTGTGAAGCTCTAGAAGGGATATTTAAGCTAACAAAGACTCTCAAGTTATTAAATGCTCTAGCATGAAAGAGTGGAACAACACCTAAAAGCTGAAGCAATTAGCTACTGTGAAGCAGGTTTCATGTTCCAGTTCCAGTCACACTCGGAAGGGATTTTATAAATATTAAATATGATTAATGTAAGTTTGTTGTTTGTTTTTGGTTTTGTTTGTTTTTTTTTTCCAACACAAAGGCATTTATTTCAAACTGAAGTGTCAGTAGAAGGTAAAATAGAATAAATAACAATAAATGAACAGAACCAGCTGGCATTCAACCATGAGATCTAAAGGAAATCAAATACAAAGCAGCTGAATTACTAATGGCTATGAGTAAACTATCATTTACATTTCCCTTAGTGCCAAAGCAATGGAAGGTGACAAATACCAGGACAAAACTTTTAGGAGCTCCAGTCTCTGGCTGAGAAAGTCCCTAAACTGAAGACCACAAGGAGTGGGAAGAATATGCTGGGGAAAGCCACCCCAGACGTGCTTTTTTTCTTATTCCCTAAAGCCTAGCCTGCACCTCTTGAGTCATTCACATTTGCTCCCATCGTGGGCTTTAATGATTGCCTTGTGCTGACACAGGGACTTCTGGTTCATCTGAGTCCAAGAAAGTGAAGTGGTAGGCGCTGAGGAGGTCAATGCTGTTGGGTGGTCCCAGGATCCAGCTGTGCACACTCTCATGCAACCACGGAGTAGTGATATTCTGAAGTGATCAGAAACTCCAGGCTTTGAACTGTCACTTAACAAGCATTTTCGATAGTTTCAACATCAGTCATATGCTCTCACCCCTCCAGATTTTTGCGGGTAGAGAAGTATTCAAATTATACAGATATATAACTATTACAGAGGTACATTTTTTCTTCTGTAGTGAAAAAGGAGACAGCTTCTCAGCTAGCATAAATTTGTGTAACTCTGCTAAAGCTGAGACTTACACCAGGAACACCATCCTTATCAGCCTAGAAGGGAAGCAGCTAAGTACTACAAAATCTAGCATTTTAGAGAAAAACCCAGAGTGGCTTAATGCATTCCCTTACTACAGCAAGCAAAAGGCATATCACTTGCTGAGTGTGCCTGAACAGCAGCACTGTGTTATACCCAGCACTGGTCTGGCTTTCTATGTTGGTAAGGTGGTATCCTTACCCTGCCCACTTCCACCAAGTTGGTGACCATGACAACACTTGCAGAGTTTTCTTGCCAAATCATTCTCCAAAAATCCTTCACTGTCTCTTGCATCGGCCCTGGGGCAGGAAAAAAGACAAAAGTACATCTTAAGAGAGTGTACTGAATACCAACAATCCATTTCAGCTGCTCCCCAGCCATTGCCCTGGTCCCACAGGATCCTACTCTGCTTTTCAGAGCATCCCTCAGTGATTCAGGGTTACAGGCACGAATCAGGCTGGAGCTCTTTAAGAGATGCTTCCTCGCAAAGGGTATTAAAGGTTCTAGCACACTGGAAACAGAGGTGATGGCTGTATTGTAAATAGTGGAGATGGCTCCAAAAGGTTATCGTGTATAAGTGATAGGACAAAGAAGAACCCTATCAGGACTCTGTAATTAAGGCTGTATTGAAATTTGTACCTGATGCAGCACGAAAATTCCTCCATTTCACACTTTAATATTTATTAATTATGAAGGAGAAAACATGCAGAAATTAGCCCTCTTCTGAAGTTCCCCCATAGAGAAAAATTGCAGGTTCCAACAGCCAAACAGCAAGTACTCACAAGAAGTTTACTAGACAGAGTGTCTCTGATTTTGTTTCCTTCTTTTCTACTCTGTAGATTAAATCCACCCACGGACTCTTTCCACCCACTCTGCCCATACTCCAACCTCCCCATTCTCTGCTTTGCTGCATTCCCTATACCTGTACATCCTCAGATGCCAGCTTAGAATTAGAAACCTATTAGAATACTAATACATTTCTTCACTTTTTCAATAGGGACAAGTCAGTGAGGAAGTCATAAAGCAAAATTTAAGAATAATTTCTGTAAACATCACATTTGCAGGTAAGGAATGCACAAAAATGAAGATAAATAATGGTAGAAGAAGTGGTCATGGCATAAGAGTTTGGCCAGTGATGCAGGAAAATAGCACCCTGTTGTAAAGAACAGCAGTAGGAAGGTTTGTCATCTAACCTGGAGAGCCCTCAGTATTGAATTGTATTGTTTTTTTCTTCTTTTCCTTTTTCCCTCTAAAAGCACAGGAAACTCATCAACTGACTTACAGAAGGTGGTGCTCAAATGCATTTCCTACTAGTTCCCACTAGCCAAAAGCTCATCAGTCACAGGCTTATTCATAGTGTGCTCCCCAAGCAATTTCACTCCAGAAGGTAAACCCAAGCTCCGTAAAGGCCCTTTTAGTTCTAATCTCATACTTCATGCACAAAGGACACATTATAGATTGTACTGCCACCACTAAATGTGTAGCATTTTTTATTCTTGTAGCTGAGGTTCTGTGTTTGAGTGCCTTAAAGATCTTAGAACATCCTATATCCTTCCCTTTTGTGCCCCTATATCAAGTTTTCAGATGTTCCCCAAAGCAGAAGATGTCACCCTACAGATAGTTCTTACAACAGTTTAAAACAGCAGTGGTTTTACAAATATTTAGACATACAAGAATGAACTTGCCTTGAGTTGCAATGTAATGGCGAGGCCGGTGGTATCCCTGAAAAGAAAGAAAATATGTGATGGTGTATTTTTAATCCCTTAAAGAAAATCTTCCAAACATTGCCATATTCCTGAAGTTTAGGAGATGCATACAAGAAATGTGTGTTCATTCGATCATTCTGCTTTTCAAATGTTATAACACTAAAAAAAAAAGTCACTCTATTTACATGCATCGTGAACTGCAACTTCGTAAGAAGTTGGTAAGTCTCAGATAGCTACTAATGCTATTGAGAGGGGCTCATACTGATTTCTGCATACGTCATTTAGCCCACATTCCACTTATGTTGGTGGATCTGTCAAACACAGGAAATCTCCATCTGTCCAGATTGGTCAGACAGAATAAACTGGAGACCAAGAACCTTCTCCCTGTCACAACACGATGTTTGTATAATGCTCAGCTGTCATTCATATCAGATCAACAGTCTGTCCCTATGCAAGATGCGCCAAATTCATAAGCAGACTTGTCAGCGTTTGTCAGAGCAGGAACATCCAGGAGCTTACGTCGATGTAGTTGGCGTTGATGTAGTCAGAGTGAGGGTCCCCATCCAGCAGCTGCAATCTCACTCTTGAATGATCATCTGAAAGAAGGAAAGAAAAAAAAGTGACAGTAACGATAAAGAGGACTTTCTAAGTGGTTTATTTTATCTACCAATTCCTGTGAGTAATTGAATACTTACAATAATAAAAAATGAAAGAATATCAGATATTCCTGCTCCTACAAGCCCCTTCTTTTGAGTGCAAGATGCAACATTCAGATCCTTAGGTTGGTGTTCATTCATACTCTGTGTTCATTAAATTCACTGCTGTCACCACAACTCTCATAAAGCTTTCAGACAGACCCCAAATCTTGCTTGGTTTGGGGGTCTGGGGACAGATCTTTGCAAGACATATCTCCATTACAAAAGCCATCTGTACGCTTGGAACAGGCTCCCTGGCTCCATCTGATCTATGGAAACTGAGGCAAGAGCTAAAACTGTCAAGATCAGGATAAAAATAAATAGGTCATGACAGGTATAAAAGATTAAGGAGGGTAAAATGGCAAATGAAATCCTGCAAAGAAAAAATGGGGCAACCTAGAAACCTGAAAGGAAATAGTAAAGGAAATCAGAGCAATGATCCTTTGTGTAACCCACAGAACTCACAGCAACAAAATGGCATCAAGGCAGTGCTTAAAAAAAATAAATTAGAAATGTTCATGTTTTTGAGGATGTTCAAAGTTACTTTAGATAAGACAATAGCAGATATCAATCTTTTCATCTCCCAGCATGCTCTACAGTTCAGACATGGAAAGGAACTGCCCCAGAGGGCAGATTATGTCATGATTTTCCACCGAGGGAATATTTTGATCTCCCTGTGGAACAGCTGGTGCTGGGCTCTGTCACAGGAGATACTGTGTGAGCCGGGCTGCGGCGCTGATTCGGTCTGGCAGCCCCAGTGCTGGTATGCAATTAATTGCAGAACCGCTGTCTAAGGGCCAGTTGCTTGGCAAAGGCTACTGCATTCCAGAGGTCACTGCTGGCCATGCCGGGCTCATTTTCACAGGATTTTTTAAAGTAGTATAATATTGAGTCCATTAAGTTTATTTCCTCTCTACCAGCCATATAGATCATAGCTCTCAGTCAGTAAAGCATTAATGTTCAGAAGCACTTTGCAAAATTCAGGCCTAAGCATGATTTACATTCAATTAAAAAGAATCATAGCAATGAAACATAAAAATACACAGTGTGATTCTGCAGTAACTCAGTCAAAACGAGTTTTAGTCATCACTTAATTAAATGTAGAATCAGATAATAACTGTGAAGACAGATGTGCAGACAGTCCTGAAAACCAAGATTTGGGAATATATTAAATACTAATTCAGTTATGTAAACCAATGTTTCTCATACTCTGTTCATTCTTTGGGTGAGATTTTTACACCCAGAAATACAGCTACATTGTTGCATTAATCAAATCCCTTATCTGCATTTGAAATAAGGTTACGCAGGTGAATCCATCAAAGGCTTTATTATCTTTGTATTAATAACTATAACCTTTGCAGACGCAGTGGAAGTAGGTATATTTCTCAGTGCTGGTTTTGTTCCCAACTCCAGACAACTACCTGCGCTCAAGGCAACTGCTCGAAGAGTTGCAGTAAATCACACAGGTAGACAGACAACAGAAGAATTTATACTTGGAGCAATTCAAAGACAGACAAAAACCTGATTAAACCGGACATCTAGATGAAATACACAAAATTTCCTGTAGACAATTTCACACTTGCAATTCAAGGCAGCAAACTAAGCTAGTAAAAATCACACAGGCCAAAAGCAAAAAAAAACCAACCCTAGAGCGGATGGTTGGGAGGGGAACATTTATGAACTCCTCTTGTGATGACACAATAGAACGACGTTATGAAAGTCTTAACTTATTGCAACACTAGAACTAAAAAGTGATGAGATTAGAAATGACCCTAATGGCAGGTGAAAAGAATCTCAGGTTGATTTTTTTAAGTGGGACCAAGACACTGTCCACGCACAGTGTGTGGCTGAAGTGCTCTGAATAGCCCTCCAGGAAGAACCCGCCTCTCTTCATTTAATAGATCCAAACCCCAAAATTAAATTTCAGCTCTTTGAGCGACTCTTCAGTTAATGAAACAGACTGGATGGATGCCTCCTGAAGGAGCTAGATGTGAAAGCCCCAGAAAGGAGACTGCAGAAGAGGTCTATGCATTTAAGACAATTCTGGATAAAGGAAAGATGCTCTGTAGCTATAAAAAGTGTTGCAGATTTTTTGCCTTTAAGCCAAATACTGTTATTCTATCTGTGAAGAGCAGGAAAGGAAGAAGCAGCATCTCCCATATGAGGAAAGGCTGAGAGAGTTGTGTCTGTTTAGGCTGGAGAAGAGGAGACTAAGGGGGGATTTCATTAATGCTCATAAATATCTACAGGGAGGATGGGGCCAGACACTTCTTGCTTGTGTCCAGCGACAGGACAAGGGACAACAGTCACAAACTGGAACCCATGAGATTTAACTTAAACATATGGAAAAGCTTCTTTACTGTGAGGGTACCAGAGCACTGGCCTAGGCTGCCCAGAGAGGCTGTGGAGTCGCCTTCTCTGGAGACATTCAAACCCCCTGGATGTGTTCCTGGGTGATCTCGGAGTGACCCTGCTCTGGCAGGGGCTGGACTGGGTGATCTCCAGAGGTCCCTTCCAACCCCGACCATGCTGTGATTCTGTGAAGAAATGACCACTAGAAATGAATGATACTTAAGAAAAAAAAAAGGAGATATTCAGCTTTATGTCCAATCATATTTTTGGATCAAATGAGGAATACTTTTAGCTAAAATTTGCTTCAGGAGGACAGAATTCAAAGTATTTCATTAAACATTTTATAAAACTGAGATTAAATCCTGTGGGAGATTTATTTCTCTTTTAAGTGTGAATAGTGCAGCAGAAAAAAAAAATCAGTGTATATGGTAAGCACACAAATATTAATGACATTTTAATGGTGTCTTCAATCTTGTTCATAAGTTTAGGAGCACAGTCTGGATAAAAGTTCATGAAATAACTTACCTTGTAAATCCCTCCTTTCCCCCCCAAACTTTTTATAATGGAAAGGGGTAAAAAACCCAATGTAACTTATGATGATATTAGCAGGAACAATCTTGTATGTAGTTTTTTTCATCTACAGACTAAAGAGTCTTTTTTTAACGAATGGCAAATTATTATTTATTATATCTTCTCCCAGTGGTTAAAATTTATTTCTGATCCTGCATCAATGAGACTACACGCTCTACTCTCCTGTAAATTTATCAGATGTCACCATGTGTTCCAAATGGATTATAAGAAACTTTAAAAATGGAGGGAGAAAAAGAAGAAAAATGGCACATCTCTAACATTCAGGACTGCAAAACAAATGGAAAATAACAAATGTACAAATGATTTTATTTCTCCCTGTTTACTATAGTCTACATGCAAGTTAGCAGAACTCTAAATCTGTATGAGGAGTACTTTGACTGAAAAATTGGTCTTAAAACAGATTTCAAAAATGACAAGAATTTCACTGAAAAGCATTGTGCTCCCATTTTAGCACAAAAATGTTATCGTTTCAAACTTCTGTCAAAATTCCCATTAGTGATCATTTGAAATATCACTGCGATTTTTCCACATCTCATTTTGACACCACCACTGGATTAATCTCACACAACTTTCGCCATCTAAATATTACGCAGCTAGTCTAAACTGGCTGTCACGGTTCCCCACACAGTCAATGGAGAAATACAGACATCTTTTGAAATGATTCAACCCAGCTCTGGTACAAATGGATGACTTGCCCTCCCAAGGCATCCTGTCCTCCCTCTTTCTATCCCCACTGGTCCTGGACTGTGCCTGGAGGATGGGGTAACAGCGCGGTGTGATTCATCCCACCCACTCAGGATCACCTGCCATGGACACTGCAGATAAGCGAGAGTTTAGGCACTGCAGAACAAACCATGGAATAAAAATGCATGGAAGATTAAAGACTTCCATTTAAAATCCAATACTGACATATGGGTTCTTCCCATTTTATGCATTACCCCTGTCTATGACCAAGTGCACTCCACCTGTGCCTCAGCTGAGAGCTCTGTTAATCTCTCTCTGTTGCTCATCTCTTCCACCACAAAATTCTCTGACTCATTCACAGTCTTCCAGCCCAAAGCATATGGGAGTCAGAGCATGAGGGAAGTGAAGCAAATTTCTCTACCACCTTCTATCATCATCTCAATAGGTTTTAATGGACTATCACAAGACTTTAAAACCATGGCACCTAAGTGGGAAGATGCTCCATTGCAGATGGGAGGACGTGTCTACAGTAGCACCGGTATTAGGCACCCCTGTGAGTGCTGACCTTCTCCTGTAATATTATACTCAGAAAAGGGGAGAAAAGAAAGGGAAAGAAAGTGCTCTCCTGCAAGTCAAAACAAAACTCAATCCTATGTCTCCATGTCCTCAGGTCTCATCTGAGAGTTTTCACTCTCTATAATGTAATGGCTTTAAATCTGGACAAGATGTGGAGAAGTAGAATAGAACAAAGGTCCCACATAGCTTCTGGATGTTTTCTCCTCTATGTAATGGGTTCAGCTCAACCCACAAAAGCTCAACATCCCTCCCCTAACAACCACTTGCTGATGCACTTTGAAGGTATCTAGGCCCTAAAGCGAATTTAAATCATTTCACTTCAGCACATAAATGGATACACAACCTACCCTTGCCCCCTAAAGAAAAATCTTGCATCTCCACAACTTTTTGTGTCTTTGTGTTTACAACTTTTATACTCAAAGCACAGGAGCAAAGCTCATGGACTCTGCTGATATAAAAAGTTTGAGTCGACCAACTTTCTCCAGGAAGGCAAATCTGTGCAATTGCAGTGGATCTTTCCACCATCAACAGTGGATTTCTGTGGTCATACAGACCCCACATCCACTTCTCAGATCTATTTTTTCTGAAAACAACCCCCATACCAGTATTGCAGATTGAACAGATCCCTGAAAAGACAGGGTTTAAAGCATGGGAGAGCTTACAGCTCTCTTGTATCCCCTTTCCATGAACAGATTAGTCTAATCTGCAGTTTCAGTTTGCAAATGTAAGAACAGCAGATGTTGGGGCTGGCAGTAAAACCTAGGTTTTCACAGAGAGGCACAATGTTAATACAGCCCTGGGAAAGCAGTGAGCCGAGTAAAACAGTCCTGTAAGTGTACTACTACCCACAAGGCCATAAAGACAAGCTCTAATCTGCTGTGACTCACTGAGCAATGCAACTTATTGCAAGAACTTACAAACCCACATTTTAACAAAAGTCTCTGAAGCAGTTACAAAAGTTAGGTCAAAACCTGACTTTTCAATTCACTCCCCAAAAAGCATGGGATATCTCATTCCAGGAGTGATGAAATGGCAACTGTGGTTAAATAAATAATGGCAACTTCCATCTGCAGCCTTTTACCAAACTGGTAGGAGCAATCAGTGCACACTTTGTGTTTTACCAGCAATTAGAATTCCAGCACAACAAAGCAGCTGAGGGTGCAATCGTTTTCCACCTCCCATCCTCTGCTCAGGCTTTGAAACAGCTTGTACCCACAGAGCACAATTCGTTTTCATTATCTGCCCAGAGGGAGCCACTCTCCTGCTATTCCCAGCTCTGCCATCAATTCTCTATTCTGGGTCCTGTCATTGCCTTTGCTCAGGGAAGTTGCCCAACATCGCCCATCAGTAGAGTCTGGCTCAAGGCTTAACCAGTGACACCACTGATAAGTTCCCACTGGTTTGACAAAATGTCTGATAAATGATACGCCCCTTTCTTAGGCATCCTCTCTTCCTTCTCCCCAGCCTTTTCAAAGTGAAGCGAGGATTGCACCCCATATTATCACTCCTTATCGAACATTACTACATTCTTCTTGCTGTCTTTAAGAGGAGCGGTTGTCTCGTCTTCAATTCTTTGTTCTGATACATACTTGAAGAAAAGAAAACCCACTCAACTTTATCATTTACCTTCGACTCTTCTGCATCCTTCCTCTTTCACTACCTTGCTTGCTTTATCTATGCCTTTTCACCCTCTCAACCTCAATCTGAAATTTTTCCTAACAGCCATCAAACTTGAGATTCTTTTCTGATATTTTATACCATGCAGATACTTCTTTCTTAGTATTTTTCATTCCTTTATTCAAGCACATCACCTCCTATCTGTATTGCTACTGTATTTATATTTATAGCTAAAAAGCCAACATCACTCTTCGTTAGACAACAATTCATCTTTGTGAACACATTCCCTTTAGATAATACCCCATTTATCTTCCTTGATTTTGCTTCCTTAATTTCTTCTCGCATTTCACTTGAAATTCAACGCTTTCTTTTCAACATAAATTAGATGGTGGCTACTGGACACAGTCTTGACTCTTTTCACATCCACTTTTAAATTATGTGAATTGCTTCCTCAAAATCACACAGAGAAACACAGAGTCTTTCACGTTTCCTTCCTTATATCGTACTGTGCCTCGTACAACTCCAGTGCAGTGTGTAGCTGTTACAGCTGGATGATTCATCTGTCTTAAGACTAATTTAATCTAAGGTAATCATATAGACAGGTAAATTGAACCTCTGTCTGGAGGCATCTCTCTTTGCCATTAGGAACACAGGAACCTTACAGCAAGGTGGAGCTTTTAGACAGCTGATGTTAAAGATGATTTTAACACTGACTGTAGTACTCCAGCACTACCACTTCTACTTTCCACGTGGAGGAACAAAGACTGATGGATCTGTGACTGTTTCTTCTTTACTGTGGGGTCCTTGAACTGATCTGTTCTATGCCATTCCCCAAAACTGTTACATGAATAATTTCTTTCAAGTCTTAAAGGAGAGGAGTAGTTACGTGTGAGATGATCTTTCTTTGTGGCCAAGTTTGTTTTTTTTTTTTTAAATTCTTTAGTAAAGTCTGTTTGTTCTAAAGGAAAGACATATTTTACCTCAGAAAAAAACCCACAGAATTAAATATACTGCTCAGTGTGACTTAATTTTGCTCTTACGGCATTCTATAGATTTATCCAGTCATAAAAATCTATAGCACATTCATTTATATTCTTATTTCTTGTTCTGATGGTCTCAGGCCCAGCTTCTCCAACCTGATGCTGCTCTTACAAAGAATTAATTCTCACACCTCTCCTTCCCAGTCACTATAGGGAGTAATGAAACACTGGGGTAAGCCACCCGAAGAGTTTGTGGAAAGCCCAGCTTGGGAGATCGTTAGGAAGAGGGTTCACAAATATCTGACAGAAATGACAGAGGTGAATCTAGACTGGACTTGGAGAATAAAGCTGACCTAAATGGTTTTATGGAGTTCTTCACTGTCCTGCAGTTCTGCGATCTGCCAATATTCCTATAACACCAGCAGGAACTGGTTAATGAAAGAAGTAAAACTAAGAAGCTTCAGTGGATTTTCAGCTGCCTTATTGAGATTCTGAGGCAGAAGCTAAGCTTGTCCCACACATCAAACCAGCTCTCTGGGGACAAGCAGTGACTGCTCCACTGGCTACTGACCACAGGGAAGGAGAAAGTCTGATCTCTGATCCATACCTAAAAATCTGATCTATCCACATCTTCTTTTGCACTCACATTTGTGGCACTGAAAGCTTGGGGTTATGTAGTAAAAATGGACAGAAAATGGGCACCATCATCCACTGCAAAAATCTGACAAAAGGAGTTATCCCTCAAATTAAAAACATTGAGCAGAAATCAAGGTAGATAGAAAGTGTGTAAAAAAAACATGAAGTCACGCAATGACTTTATGTAAAACAATGAAAAAAACCACCCTAAAATAAAATAGACATAGAAATCACAGCCTGTAACAAACAGACTGAACTACTGAATGCTCAGCGCTGTAAACCAGCTTTTAGTGAGATTCTCAAACACACCCTTTTCCATAGGATGCTTATAAAATCTTACAGAAAGCTCAGTTTAATGCGAATTTACACCTACAGGAGATTATGTTTCCATATCTGTTCTTATTGCGGTTTTCGTCTTCCTTGGCTGTATCCCAGGATGCCGTTTGCCCCTCAGGTAGTGCCTGCAAAATAAACAATAGTGCAATGTTTATAAAAATCTGGCCAGTGCCTTCAGGTGGATTAACATGACTGAGCAGGGCAAAAATAAAGGTGCTGCATAATTCAGGAGTCAACCAAGCAAACAGCTGTTCTTGAGGAAAGGGCACATCCACTAATGCAAAAAGCCGAGCTTGGTGCAGACCATTTCCATCTCTTGGCTTCTGCCAGTGAAGAATAATTTTCCTCCTGCTACTTTAACAACTAAAAGGATCAGGGGAATTTGCTCCTGACTGTACAGTCACAGGTTAATATAATTTCCCCTGTAGAACAGGGTTTGTGGAGATTTCACATACACACACTTCTAAGAAAACCCAGATGACTGAAACATAATGCTCAGTCTTTTATATTTAAGTTGAAAACAGATACAGCATTTTCACCTATTCCTCTGAATAGGTGATGCAATACAAACCAGTAGCTAGTTTTCTTTGGGGAAAAATAAAAAAGTTCAGGGTTTAGATCATGTGTAAAGAAGAGAGGCGAAAGGAGGTAAAACTTGCTCATGAAGTAGGAAAATAAATAGAAATTGTCCTAAAATCTGCTCCTTCAGTTGAGGAAGGATGGGGTAAGGAAACTGGCAGCACCCTACTCTACAGCTTGGTCCTATGGCTACTCTGAATGCACTCAAATGAGCTGCTTTCCCCTTGAGGCACGTCCAGGAAGGATTTTCAAGGCAGAGCCAGGAAAATGGCAGTAAATGTGGGATCTGCTGGAGGAGCAGTGGCACCAGGCAGCGCCGGCAGCGCAACGGGATGGGAAGCCACGGCCTGCAAACTGCAGCCAGCCCAGCCTTGCCTTGTGCCAAAAACACGGTGAGGAGGAGGACAGATCCTCCTGGATTTCCTCTCTGGATCTGCCTCCTTCAAGATCTACTCCCTAACGTGAGCCTACATTACTAGAAACAACAGCAACATTATAAACTGTATTATTTACAGTCCCTAGGGAATTATGGGGTTTTTATATTGCAATCATTGTAGAATCGTATCTGCCTTAGCTAGCAGCAGGTAGTTTGACACAGCTGTGCTAGAAAATGAATTTATATTCATCTTCACAAGCCATCCAGGTCTATTACAGTGCCTGAATGCAATAGCAGAGAGACACAATTATTAGGATCTACAACACTGACATTACAATTAAACTCAATATGAGCAAATCCCTGGCAGAGCAGATCGCTGTGAATTTCCCCCAAAGGGGTTCCAGGACAGAAAATGTCAGGCACTGCAGCACTGCCAGGAGCACTGCTGACGAAAGATGGGGACAGCAAGTTCCTGTTCAAAAGCTCAGGAGAAAGAGTAATAACTCTGTAATTGGTGAGGCCTTTGATCACACATATATTTCCTTTACAGACAGCTGTTTCCAAATAGCAGCTCATCTCCTGAGCAAGAAATATAAACAGCCAGCAAACCCATACACAACAAAAAATCCCTGAGTAAAAGAAAAGAGGTGGAGAAGGTTCATTTTCATCTTCAAAGACTGAGCAAAAAGGTGCCTTATTTTTTCACTAGTATCAAATTACAGCAGATTGACCAGAGAACGGCAACAGTCATTAGACATCGGATCAGAGCCCTTGAAAAAGAGAGAAAGAGAAAAGAAAAAAGAGAAAAGAAAAAAGAGAAAGTAAAAACAAAAGAAAAAAAGAAAAGCTCTTTCTCATTGCTTCCACATGGGAGAAGCTATCTTGGCCAAAGCAAATACATTTACGTGCAATATCTGTTTGTTTAATAAGTACCTCTATAATAGCAAAAATGTTTAATATTTCTTCTTCCCTCTGCATTATCAATGGTAAGTCAGGATAGATAATCGAGGCATTGGTATCTGATCCGCATTTCACAGGAAATGCTCCCCCTTGTTTCTTTGATTTAACTACTACAAAATTTCAGTGTTGAAAAATCTGGGCTTGATTTTCCGGTTTTTCTTCTTTTTGAAAAGTCTTGTAAAATTTATACTGAAAATTTATATCTCAGCAGTGGAATTTATGTTATAATTATGCTTTTTAAACTAAATTGATCTATTTTTTTTCTGAAATTACAAGGATAAATCTCTAAAAGTCAGCTTCATCTCAATCAAACGTTCTGAGCACTGTGGCCCAAACATAACTAAAGTGTTCGCATTAAATTGAGGCTTAGTGCAAGCCAATTTAAATTTCCAGTGGATGCATTTAGTTAGTTCACTGTTTGTCTTTAATTTAAATGCGAAAACTTTAATCATTCATTTGCAGTGATCTACCCTGATGCTGCAGTATCGCTGCCAAAGGCAACATCATCAATTAAAAGCCTTGCTGCTCATCTCAGGGCCTGTCACAGCGTCCTGGCCCTCTCCCTGCAGTTCTCAAAACTCTGCTGGGCCCCAGGGTTAAAAACTGCTTTGGCTAAAAAAATAACCTGAAAACAAATATTGCAGCCAGTTCAGTTCCCTGTTCCAGTTTGTAGCAATGCCTTAAGCCAACAGTGTCCAAGGGCAGCATCTACAGTAACATCCTGTCACCAAACATTTCACAAAGTCACGTCACAGCCTGAACCACGGCACCTATTGCTTTGACCAGACAGAAAATAAAGGGTTAAAATCCAGAGGTGATGTCAATAAGCTGAAGACTCTCAATATTAAGGTGCTTGTAGAAGCAGCCACAAAATCCAAAATAGCTAAACGGTCTCAGTAATGCAGTACAGAATGTACTCTGGTGACACCCTAAATCATAGTGGAAAATGAGTTTGGGTACTTAAGCTTATTATCTGCTCAACCAGCAATGGGTGCTCACAGTACATCTGTGGGCCTACTCCTGCAGCTCACAGCAATCAGGGCTGATATGTTCTGAAAAAGGATCAGGTGACATTTAAACGTGTCTCGTTTAAATGTTTATGGCCATGCCTAATCCCAAATAGCACTATCTACATCCAGTGCCAGGGATGGATCTTTCTCTTTGTGGTCTACATGTTTTATTGCTGAACAGAAGTGGCAGCCAAATAGGCTCAAGTCACACTTTGGCCTCAGGTGCAGCAAGCAGACCCAAAATAACACCCATGGCAAGCGCTGCCAGATCCCCTTGTTCGCACACACAGTTATCATCCATTTCACACCAGCACTGACACCACTTACACAGTCACATCCTGCCTTTCATCTCCATGGGGAGGTATGTGCCAGATGCAAGCACCAGAGATATTTTTCTAGATGCCCTTGGTAAAACACGTTGCCTGTGTTCTAATGGTCTGTAGGTGAAGGTGTGTTTTAAACAAACATCGAATGCAATTTCCAGGTTACTCAGTGAAGATGTGAATGCATGGAGATAGACTGTCATGTGTGACTGATACATTCCGTTCAAAGCGATTTTTCATGAGAGTAAAATTATTTGGTAACATGTCACTAAATGGGCTGTAATTTATGCTATCAATTTGCAAAGTAAGTAGAAAATCAGCTCCTTAGAAGAAAAAACATATTTGGAGGTGACACTGATATTAGGGTATGAAAACACATTTAAAAGACACATCAAATTCTTTTTTAAGATTTTATCAACCATCCTCCAAAATGTTTTACAAAGCTGGTTTTGCAGCTTTGTGTTCCTCTCAATTGCAGTCTGAGACACCATTCTCAGCCACCTTAACCCTCTGCCTCCCAGGAGTCAGAACACTCCTTCACATCCTGCCCACATTTGGGGTACTGCTGTGGGCGGTGAAAGCTGTTTGGAGCTGAAGTGCTGCCTGCAACCCTTGTTCCAAAAGCCAAACTCCACCACTGAAAATTGCCTTCTACCGTGGGCAATTACCTCTGCATGAAGGGTAGAACAGAACATGGGTTTTGAGAGCTTGTGGCATTCTCCAGGCTATTTCTTGTAAAGAAAAGCATTATGCAAATCTATATAATGTCATCGTCATCACATACGTATGTAGATGGCACTTTCTGGGAAAGGCAGAACTTGCGGAGTTGAACGTCGCATTGACATTTTTCATGCTAATGTGTTATTTTGATAATTACCAATGCCAGTGCCAGAAAATTACATATATGCCAGCACCTGTTTTCTTCTTGAACATCAAAAATCAGATCTTAGGGCATCTGTAATTAAGCTGAATGCAGTTTTGGGTACTATTCATGGAAATGGAGGCCAACGGAGGGCTAAGTAAATCTCCTAAGAGAATTATTACCCTTTTCCAATATTAAACAGAGCTCTTTATATTGATAGTTTAATTAGCGTGCCTGATTGTGGGGCATGAGTGACTAGACCTGGTGAACATATAGTTACCAGAAACATTTGTTATGACAGTCTTTGATGCCATCTGATTAAAAAAACACTCCCTAGTGAAAAACAGGAAAAGACTGCATCTCATTTGCAGCAAAACCCAGCATCAGTGACACAAACCCCATGGACTCTTACTTGCAGGGTGGAAAAGTGAGCTGTTTTCATTAAGTAACTTATTTTTCACAGCTGTTATGTTATTTTTAAGTAGTTTTAATGCCACTATGCATATTAATTGCTTATTGCCTTCCCACAAGCTACTACTTCATTATAATTATCACTTGCTAGAGCAAAGTCTGACATATGTTTGATGCTATTTTCCTCTTCTGCTCTTCTGTAAATGTATATTCCTCTTCCAACTCCTTCCCAATCCCATGTCTTCTTGTCATTTGGATTATGTTCCTGGTCATTCCAGCTTGGGGGAAGAGGTGTGGTGGGTAGCAGGACTGCTTTCATTTTTGCAGCTTACTCCTTGCTTTTCTCTTTCCATGGGGTTGGAAGAGTCCATCAGCCAAACACATTCTGAGCCAGAGGTCTGAGCATACTGGAAAACTCTACCTTTGTTTAAGCTACACACGGTTCCCGCCTTTGCCTTTACAATTCTGCACTTAGATCATTGAATCTGATTGAATCTGATCAATTTTTACAGAGTATTTGGAGCTCCCAAAAAGCTCAAGTGAAAACTCTTCCTTTTCTCAAGCCTGGCTTGCAATACCCATGAAAGCACAGCAGTAAGTAATGGACTGTGAGATGTCAAGTCCTTCACTGAGTTCAGCACCTGTTAAATATTTACTGTTTGCTCTTTATGGGAGAGAGGACACATGCTAACAGATGACCACAATGCCATTTTCTTACTGCTGTAGTAAACACCTTTTCTTTGGACTAGAGGGCCACCAAAGACTGCTAGTGCTGCAAAATCCTACCCTTGTAAACAGAAAGAAGATGGAGAAAGGAAAGGAGAAGGTAAGTGAACAAAGGAAAAGAAGCCCTTAAAAACCATCATCCTCCCCTCACAAGCATCTATCCTTTTGAGTGCAATTTCTCTACTTATTCACATGATTGAAGGGTCCTCTCACCTCATACTCCTCTTTAAATCCATAGCCCTGTCCTCTCTTCATCTGGGTGATGTGCTGCAGCAGGTCGGCCACTCGGATGGCTGGCTGGAACTGCCCCCGGGGGTAGGACATTTCCACCGGCTCGCAGCTCCGGTACGGGTGGGTCTGGATAGTCAGGGTTGGCTGGGTCATCTCTCCATGGCTGCTGTCTGTTTTAAAGACACGGAGGCAAAACAAGATTTCACCTATCTGGTATTTCCACTTATTCTTGCTCCATTTGTATATTTGTTTCTCCACCACCCCATAGGTTGGTGCAGGCAAAAAGAAGTAAAGTAATAAGGAGGAAACACACATTTGCCTACAGCTGCCTCGAAAGACTACATCACACTAGAATATTGTTTGCGTCAAGAAGACAGACCCAAAGAGGTGGGAAACAGAGCAAAGAGCCCATCAGGCTAACGAGGATACCGCATACAGAGCCAAATAGCAAAATAGTTTATAAGGGTGAGCTCTGCATGACGCCACCAATTGAATTACAAACCTTTCTGTGCAAACCTGCAAAGAATGTCACTGGAAGATACATACAGATGAGCAAGATATTCAAGTAGGATGTGGGGTGTACAGTATGCGATAACTGAAAGGGGCTCGAGTTAACAGCAAACAAATTATTAGCATTTCAAATAAGTCACACAGGATGTTAGAGACAACTGCTCTGCTAGTTCAGGCCTAAAATTTATATGTCAATTATAAAGATGCAATATTATCAGAAAGAACAGTTACCTTGCATGCAGAAACTTAAATTTCAGATACATAACAGAAAATTTTCTTTTTGAAAGAAATGGATTTTAAAAATTTCTGTCACTATGTACATGGAATGGTAACCTCTTATACCCCCAGCAAAACTCTAAATACACAACAAAATATTCCTGGTGACCTAGTAGAAGAGAACTTAAATAACGAAACAATTTACTGTCACAATATTTATTTTTAAGAACAGAAAATGTGATTAAATGAAAAATCCAGCTCCTTACCTACCAGAGCTGACCAAATTTAAATAGTTGGCCAGATAAACCATTCTTTTTTTCCTATGGCTATAGACATCTTACATGCTGGGGTCCTTTTGTGCATACAGGCCCTAAGAGCCTGCATCAATTCTATCTGGTCTTACTCCAAACCAACCTATTAGCAAACAGAAAATGTATCTCCCTCAGCCTGTTCATAAAATCCCTTTAAGACTGCATACACAAGGTTTGTTTCTTACAGAAAGCTGACTGACAAAGAGCTTAAACGCTGTCCCTTGTCAGCAGTACTACAGTCGTGTTTTTGAAGGGATAAAGAATAAATAAATCAAATAGCAATTTCAGGGTGATTTTTGTGAGGCAGAAATACAGCCGGAGTGCTACTGCAAACATCGATATCCTTGAGAAATCACGGTGGAGTTTTGATCAGAAGCAGTCGGGATCTCTGCTGGGCAGGAGCAGAAGAAGGCATTGGGCTGCCTTCCCAGCACCTCAGACCAACGACAGGACTAAACAGGACAAAACACGCTTTAGCTGGTTTACTGTTATATCTCGGGGAAGATATCGAAACAGGCACATGCTCTGTTGTGAAGCTGTGGGCCTATGAGAAGGAGAAAGGAATGGCAGCAGTGGACAATGCTGCAGGGCAAGCTGATCTTCAGTGCGAGAGAAATAAGTCTGGAGGTTGAATTATCAGAGATGCTGAACACATTCTGCTTCTTCTGAAATAAATTAAACAAGGTGATCATCTGCTCTAAGTTCAGGCTACTGAATTTCAGGATATCTGAGTCCCAGGTTCTCATAAACACAGTCACATTCCCAGGACACTCAGAGATGTACAGAGCCACGGCTCTAGCGAACCAACCCTCATGGACAAAATGTGAATAAATTTGGAATTTAAGGAAGAGTAACATTCAAAGCGTTTGTATAATCATCCCTAATGCTCCGACTAATGACAGTGTGAGAACTCTGAACAGAGGGAATTTCAAGGCTTATTAATTCCCCTAGTTGGATTCGCTTTCCCAGTGCATCTTTCCTCCCCTATTCCCTATTAACCTCCTGTAATGGAGAAGAGAAGAGTTTTATTGCGGACCATTTCCGACAGACGTACTATGCTTAATTTTCCATCATTAGGTTTAATACAAACCTAATTTCACAATTGGCTTCTCAGAGGAACCTACAAGTAATGCCACATTTTTACCAGCCCCAATTAAAAAACATTACTATGGCCCTATTCGAGAGGGAGTCTTAAAACTAATGTGCAGTTCTAGTGCTAATACAGTTTAAGGGCACACGCAGAGCGCGGGCTGTTTGTAAAATGTAGCTCAGATCAGTCAGTTCCTTTGCAGGCAATTATTAATGTCTCTCTTCATCAGATCCTTTCATTCTGGTATATTTGACTCTTCTCAGAGAGAAGTATCACAGGGAGAGGTGAAAGCCAGAAAAGCAGAGCCCCCTCCTTGGCAGAATAACTTCTCTCAAAGTAGGTGCCTGCGTTATGAACCTGGAACCAGAAGAAGCTGCTCAGCAGCAAAGCAGGATCTGACTGGCCTCTGAGTTTATAGTGACAGCTGTGCTTCTGGTCTCTTTGGTCAGGCAGATAAAAAATGGTACAAAACCCACAGATTGTGGTAATAGCTCTTGCACCATTTATGTGCCTCTCACCTAGACAGGAGTTTCTGCTTTAAAATAATTTTTTAAGAAGTGTCACACAATCTGGGTCATCCTACTCTCAACTGAATGACACATAGAGCTGGTACCAGGCAGATCACCTTCTCTGGACATCTGTGACAAACACATCCTGAATGGCCTCTGCGCTACCCAAAAGAAAACCCGAGCCTGACATTTGCACCAGCTCAGGATGGCTGCCAGTTATTCTCACCAGCATTTTGTCTGGGCCAAGGAAAGAGGGGAGGGCTTCTATGAAGACAAATTGCTACATATGAGGTGAACCTAGCATTCGTATGCTCTGCTAATAAAGCCTGATGCAAGAAACATATTGCTGTTCTCCATCTAATCACACCATGAGCCTGAACCTAAGCATTGCTAATGAGGCGCTCACGCAAGGCACGACACCTTCTCTCAAGATGTGCTGTTTACTGCAATTTTGTGAACAATTCAAAATGCAGGTAGGAGAGGAGGTAGCAGCAAACTGATCTCTCACTAGGACAATCAACCAAAGGAGTCTTTGGAGGGCTTGCAAACAGGCTTTGCTTTTCCTGCAGGCTGCAGCTATAAACCGCATCTTGTTCCTTTTGGCACCGTTATTACTGGAAAAGGCAACAAAAAATAGCAGCCCCTCAGCAAAGTCAGCCTTCTGCTTTAATTGATGCACTAAAGGCAAGTCACAGCGATTTTCCACAGTCCCTTCTCTCCGTACCCTTCTCACAAACATGTCCTTACACCCTAGCAAATGAGGATGAGTTTGTAGGGCAAATTGGCCAAGACTTCCACCAAAGTTTCAGCAAAGCCTCTAAAGCATGTGTGCCTTTTATGAGTTTTCAGTGAGAAAAGAAAACCAAGAAAAGATAATTTTTTAAAAGATGCTTGAAATAATTAACTTTTATACTCAGAAACTAAACATACAGAATCGTGCATCAGGTTTTTTTGGATTATATTTCATATGCACATCTTATTTGTAGTCATATGTCCTCATTTTGTTGACAAGGAGCACACACCACTGTACTGCATTGCATACCAGAGCCGGAATAGAGTTCCAAGAAATAATCCGAATTAAAACTTTTCAAGAGATGGTGATCCCACTGTGACCCCAAAAGTTGTGGCAACAGTTAATTACCCTTGCTGTCTAAACATTTCTTAATTGCAATTTGATTTTGCTTAGCTTCGACTTGCAGGCACTGAATCTTATTATACCTTCTGTTAGATTAAAGAGCCCTCTGAGCATTTGAAATCTTGACCCATGCAGGCACTAATCAAATCACTTCTTCAGTTTCTCTTTGATAAAGTAAATCAATCAAGAGTTTCTGAAGTCTCATTAGGGCAGGCTGTTCAGGGCTCTGCTTCCTTCCTAGAACCATTTCCAATTTTCCATGGTTCCTTCTGTGCAGCTGTAAATAAAACAGGTATTCTGCATGTTGCTGGAAACACGCTGTTTGGAAGGACCATTACTAACCTTAGCAGCTGCAGTAGCAAAATACGTTGTCAACTTGTTTGTTAACCCTTTTTAGTGCAACACTTCTACTCCCTATACTAAGATGTCTGCTGCCAATGCAGATATTTTGATTTCTGGAATCTGATCCTTTCATTATCAGCGTAAGAGTACACAGAATACTCTGAAATTTTGTATAAGATGTTAAATCAGTGGTTCACTGGCTCTCACATAACTAGCCTGATTGGGAAACTCTTCAGACATCTCAGCTTATCTGTTTAGGGTATAACTGCAAATAATCAAATTTAACAATGTTGACTCCACTTTTAATATTCACAAACTCTCCCTCCTTATGAAATGGTGCTTCTGCTGTAGAAATAGTAATGAACTTGCTGAAGTGAAGTTCTCTCTACTTGAGGACTCTCACTCTGCCAATAGAAACATAACACAGTCCAGTGTGCAGAGAAAAGCTGAAGCAAAGGCCGGCCAGGTGGGATCTGATGTGTAACCCTGAGGGTGAGATACTACTGCTTGCCTGCCGCTACACCACCTTGTATTAGATACTTTCCTTGCTACTCAAACAAACAAAATAAATCTGTTTTCCTCCACAGAAAAACTGATAAACTCCTCCACAGGTGTCACAGATAAGATGAAGAGCAGCTCAGAAATTAGGTTTCCAGCCTGGTGTGGCTCTGTATGATCAGACCCCTGTAAAACTTCCTAGTAAGGCTGGTGGGAGGGGACCTGCTTATCCAGAGCAGCTTTGGGGACTGAAACTTTAGATCCTTTTACAGATGTCATCTTGTTTCACAACCATAGTTTTGTTAGCCTAAGAGACAGGTATCTGGACACAGAGTATGATGTTGCCTTTTGACCAGAAAACTAATCTATGCCTCAAACACCTACAAGCAATGGTGCACCCAAGTGTCATCTTGTTCAGCTGGGGAAGTTTCCTTCAAAACTTTTGCTTCAATATCCACAAATCCCTTCTGTGTCTGAAATTAAAGGCCTATCATCTCTGTTTATACTCTTATTCTCTTAGCCGTGGCAAGTGTGTAACACGGTAAGACAACCTTTGCACAAAACAAATTCTATTTTGAGTGGTGTTTGTGATGGATTGAATTCCACACACATCGAGTCTCTCTACACTAGACTAAGGGTTGCCAATTATTTGACACCTTTCAAGGATGACTACAGCATGGCTTTTTTTCCCTTTCACTAGGGATATGGTGTGAGCTGGTAAAATTAATTTGCTTTTTTGTGTGCATCAAGGCTTTATGATACGATAAATATCCAGCTATAATATGCTATATACACTACAAACAGTGGTATGGCAAACCAAACTCAAACCATCATTTGTCTAATGGTATCAACTGAGCGATAAAAAGGCAAGTTCCTTAAGAAAAAGCCTTCTGACACCTGGTTTGACAGAGAGTGGAGGATGCATCTGTTATTTCAAAGGCTATGAAGAAAAGACGTTTGCATTAAAAAAAGGTGAAGAAAGTAATTTTTTCTAGATTCCAAAGAGATTTTTAAGAATTGCTTTGCAAACACCTTACACAAGTATAAAAATAAGGTTGTAGTACCTCTTCAGGCTTTGCAGTACTGGTACAACACGGGCCTTACTGAAGTATTAAAAATTAGAAATCTACCCCCTTTATTTGTTAGCATTGCATATTCACTTCTCTAGTGAAGATGCGCAGAACATTTAACTCCAGAGTTGTCTATAACTAGGAGAGAAAATTACGGAGCTAAAAACATTCATTCCATAAAACAGCATTAATCAAGCATGGGGTAAGGTAGAGGCAAAACCAAAATCCCCTATATCTTACTATCAACAAATCATGTCACAGCCAAGCCTAGGGAGTCATCTGCCATTGCAGATACAGAACATTTATTAGCAGAAGGCATAACAGATGGGAACAAACAGCACTGAACTGCAGGTAGTGCCCAAAGACAGATATTGGTAGTGGGATGACTGATGCCCTTTTTAAGATCTCTTTTTCTTTCCTGAGAATGAATATTAATAAACATCAAAAATAAACTTATTTTGCTCATACAGCAACATCCAATGCCTGCTGAATCTGTCTGGGAAACCAGAATACCAGGGTTTTAATTTGTCTTCAAGTCACAAGACAGAAATTTCTTCAATGCCAAGGGCTGTTTCACAGCACCTGTGGCTGTGAAGTTCAGATGGAACTGGAGGGGTGACCAGTCTGTGTAAATCAGGTCTTCAAGTAAGTGCTCTGGACTTTACTTCCATGTATGAAAACAGGGATATTAATCCTTACTCAGATATAGTGGTTCGCAGAAGTCAAGTTTGAAAGAGTTCTGAACACATGAGCACTAGACTGGTTTTCATACCCATCTCCTCTTTTTCCTCTCAAAATTTGGGATTTTGAAACCTCCGAGGGCTTTTTTTTTGCCTCTTGCTTTCCTGTGAGAGAGACAGACTGAATCTGCCTATTGCTTCTCGACCTTCAGATTACCAAGTGTGCAGTTCCCACTGTAATTCTCACTGGGACCCAGGGAAAACAGCTCCCTCATATGAGTCCTGTTTCCACAGATGCCAAGCACCAGGCTGAGAGCAGTTTGACAACTTCCAGCAAACTGCAGGTCTGGGCCCCATTTCTAAAGCATAGCCAAAAGATAAATCTACTGTTTGATTTTTCTATTGACAACACAACATCTCTGGGAAAGAAGAACAAACCTTCTGGGAAAAAACCTCCTTTCCTTCCCCACCTTGTTAAAAGAGGGCTCGTTCATTGCCATCAGCAACGTGATAGCAGGATCCAGTCCCTCCAAGCCGCTGTGCCCCGGCTGTTAGTCTGTAAGCCAAGGCACTTAAGTGATCGGTTGTAATTTCTTCCTGGTCTAACTGTGGGCTTTCAGCATGCTCAGAGTAATGTTTAAAGCAGCCACGGTAGATTACTGTGTCTGGAAGTGAACATTTACTGCAGATAATCCAAAATGACAGGTCTGATAAATGCTGCTGGTTCGATTCTGATCAACCACACATCACTTTTCTGATTCATAGCAGAAAAATTGCCTTCTTCACATTCCACATGCAGGCAGCATCCTCCAGGGAGAGCCTGAAGTTGTAGGCTGTTATTACTCACTTTCAAGGGTACACCTCCAGTAAGTTTCTGGATAACTTCTTTTATCAGGTAACAGTTACTGCCAATTTTGCTGTCTCTGTTAACTTACTGTAAAAACATATTATTTTTATAAAACCAAAAGCTAAGAGCTGCACACTGGATGCTTTATTTATCATCTGAACAAGAAAAGCTAATTTTCAGAGACACCGAACGCTAACACCTCCCTCTAAAGTTACGAGCAGCCACAGAACAGAACATATAAACCAGCCTGTCTGAGCCTTTTTGTTACCCTCTCAAATCTACGCCTGACTGCTTGACTGCATAGCATTTAACTCTCCGCATACATAGAATGAGGTGGGGCCACTTGCCCAAACCCAACCCCTGGTTTCTCAAAATCACTTTTATACTTGCAACTGAGCCCAAAACTGTAGGCTCCCGCCTGCTTTGGACAAGCAAATCCTCACTGATGTTCACAAGCCTTGAGGCATGCTTTGGGAATTTGGCCCTGAATGTCAAATCCCGTTCACAAAAAGAAACAACAAATACTGAATAGAACTCCTAAACCTTAATTTTTGAACTGCTCTTTCCTTTAAAAAAAGAATCAATTAATAACAATAATAAAGCATGAGTAAAATAAATTAACAAAACACATGACCACAGGATTAATTATGATTCTGGAGCCCAGCAACTTGACAGTGCTCTCTTGGAGCTATTTTCAGGATGCAATGAGCATGTTTGCTCTCCGGTGAAGTGTGGTACACCATACCTGTCTTCTTACCTAACAGCGTGGTTGATGGAACAGTGTCTGATGATACTTTGAGGTGGAATTCCGTTCACCCACACGACACGGATCAATGGAAATCAACAGAAGATCAATAGGAAAAAAAGTTACAAAAAAATGAAAACAAGGTTAGCGGTATCTCACACTCTGAAGATTCAGTCTACAGGGCATATTGGGAAATGTACAAAAGCAAAGAAAATTTAGGAATGAAAGAAAAGTCTGGCACTAGTACCTGAGTAGTAGGAATTCAACAAAGATTTGCTCTGAAGGGTTTTGCTTTGGACAGAAAATGAACAAGGAGAGGGTGATGCTAGGTAGGAAAGACATAAGGAAAAGACTTTAGACATATATTAAGAGAGAGAAAGAGAACAGGGAGAAGGTTCCTCAAAGAACACAGTAATATGGGATATATAAGGCTTATCAAAATGAATTATATTTTTCATCTCAACATGCATATTACATTTATTACATTGTCATCATGATGGATTTTCTTTAATATAAGCACTCCAGACCCCAAATATAGTATTATAGTTATCGTAAATCAGTGTGTTCCTACACAGGATACACATATAGATACAGATATATATATTCTAGATATCCTTTTTTTTAACCAAAGAAACAAACTTATGTTTTTGTCTCTAGGAGAAAGCTCCTTAAAAACAACCCCCAAAACACAAACTACAGAGAATCCAATGCAGTATTAACAGTAAAATAAACCTGCTCGAACACAATGCACACCAGTACCACAAAAATACACAGGTAGGGCAGCGATTGTTTTGTTAAAACAATACAAGGTAACAAGAGACTTGTTCTTCAACTCAGGGCTGTTCATAGCAAATCCTATAATCCTTCCCCCAGTGAGTTGGGTTCTTTCA